CTGATGACACCATATGGTTTCAGCAAGACGGTGCACCTCCGCACTATGCGCGCCCTGTTCGAGATTTTCTGGACAATTGTTTTCCTAGGAGGTGGATCGGCAGACGAGGACCGATAGAATGGCCCGCGAGATCCCCAGATCTTACACCCCTGGACTATTTCTTATGGGGCTACTTAAAGTCCAAAGTGTACGTTAATAGACCACATAATTTAGAAGAACTCCAAAATTGTATTATAGATGAAATACACAGAGTTACCCCAGAAATAATTCATAATGTGCAAGAAGAATTTCTACACAGACTTGCGTATTGTCAAGAAGTCGGTGGGTGGCAATTCGAACACTTAATTTAGGTAGAAAACTTAATGAATTGTATTTGCTTGACATAGGAATTGTTATTTTTTTAATGAATAAAATTTACGTTTTCTAACATTCAATCGTCATTTACTCGAAAACTTTCCTATGTAAGATGGCAACATTTTAATACTGTCGGATCGACAATGAAACCATCCTTTAGAATCAAAAAAAAAAATAGGGGGTTGCTATTTAAAAAAAATGTCGATGACGTCATTACTCGAAAACAAATGACGGTTGAAAATCGCCTTTTATGCTAAAATATGTATTTTTTAAATTAAAAATCGACCTGATCGAGGATGTTTCCCAAAAAAAATTTGTTTCGTTTTTACTGAATTTATTCCATACTTTAGGCGCGTACTGTATATTAAATTTGATATCAGATAGTCAAAACAAGATAAATAAATTCTTCGTTTTCGAGATACTGAAATTAGAGATATATCGCATCATATAAAATATCTCTGGGGACTGTAAACTGTTTACTTATACTAACGCAATTGTTTTATCTAATTAGAAGCAAAGATCCGTTAAATTGGACAATAAAAAATATATCAATCAGTGGCTGAGATACTCCTGATATTCAACGTCAATGAGTATTTTGGGAAATCGGTCTCTGTTTGTATTAATAGTGGTATTTTTAAAGAAATGCATATTTTCTCTCTCATTTTCTATATTTTATTAACTTACATTTCCATTATTAAGCGCTATGAACCTAAAATAATTTTGAGCTTTTCAAAAGCTAAGTCAGAAACCGTTAGTATGCCATTGCGTTCTAAGCAAAAAAAATATATTCCTAAGTCATGTGTCCCATTTTCTAAAGATTCGTATTCACTCACAATCTGTCCTTTAAGACTACTAATCCACTAGAATCCAAGATAATTTTAGTATCACAAACTAGATTAACCGGCTAAATTGGATTAATATTGTAGCAGTTTAAGACTCTATATGATATCAAGTTTACAGTGTTGAGAAGCGCCAGATTATAACAGAAATTGCAGTCTAAGACAAGTTTCGAGAAGTTTGCATTTACTGAAACACGACGACACATTGCAGTGCAACTGATAAACTATACTGAATTGTTTACATGTCTGAAGGTTTCCTTTATGTGTCGAAACTTGAGTAAATATGTTTAAATTAACAAAAAAATTAATTCATCTAAAAAAGTACCCACATATTAAAAAAAAACGACGTTTGAAACTATAATTTGATCATATTTTTATTTTGGAAATGGTCTAAATGGTAATAGTAGACCTGTACGAGTACACATCGAAAAGATATGTATGTTCCAAAATGTGACATTGATATACAAGTATAAGAAAGTTTCTAAGCATCTAAGCTATAGAATCCATATGTTAGGTAAGAGTTAAATGAAGAAAGTTATTAGATCTAAAAAACAAACTATTGCTTTGAACGAATTTTTGATAATTCCGTTAAATTTTTATTGATCGCGTTAGGTTTAAAGAATTAAAAATACAATTTTCACATGAAGAAAACGTTGCATTGTTGAATATCTTTTGATTTTAAAAACGTGATTGAAAATTTAGTCAATATAAAAAATACAGAATACAAGTACATATACAGGGTGTTTCAGAAAGACCTCCCATAAATACAGGGGGTGATAGTACGACAAAAATTAAGAATTTTTTTGTCTTATGAACTATATGTCTATCTCCTCTTGTTTTCGAGATACAGAGCGACAAAATAAAATTTTTTAAATAGAATTTTTACGAAAATGTTTATGAAATTTGGTATTCCGGGGTTTTTAAGAATGCCAAATTCGCTGGTCTGGCATAGAGGGCGCTAGTTATGCTGCAGATTTCTGTCTTAGTAAAATTTAAATTAGTAAATAGTTGATTAGAAAGAAACCAGTTATTACAATTATTACTTTAGCATTACTTCTACTTCTTCTACTAGATCTGCAATTTTAGGACGGTTAGTAAGCTTTGTATCATCGTTCTGCTTAACTGGTCGATTAGAGCTCGGAATTTTGCAAATAATCGAAATAATTGTTAAGCTCTGACCCTTTTCACTAAAGCCTGTTTTGTTTAATCCTTCTATTGTGGCCTCAGCAATCTTCAATTAAGTTATGCACCGCGCTCAATAAAAATATGCACTATATTTCAGGAAACTACAAACGGATACCCTGTAGCTACAAAAAGAGCGTACGTTTCGATTACAAAAACTAACACGATTGTTCAGGGTGCTTTAGCAGTCACCCTTCAAAGGGCAATTGTTACTTCATCAATTTTTCTCTGTCAGCATTAGTTACTTCGCGGCCGACTATTATTGCTCTCAGCGTTATGGAGTGTGATAGACGAATACAAAAAGCCGACTCCCTTGATGATTGACTGGAGCCCGGTTATTCATTCGTTCGTAATATCGAGTAATCCGCAACCGGAACTGTGTCAGCCGTCTGACGAATTATGATGCCTAGTTCTCGGAAATAAATGTATCTCCTAATTTGGGGGCTGAGAGATTGTGATAAACGATGCCCGCCAACAAGTTAGGATTTTTAAGTCTTACGGTTCTTGAGTTTCCCACAAGAGTCGGCATCTTAAAGAGTATAGAAGTAAAGAGGAATATTGCAGAAAAGATGATGTATATGTAGAAAATACCCCCGTTTTCATGGACATAAAAGTTAAGTTGAATCACTCACACTGGCCAGAGACTTCCGCTCTGGTTACGGAACTGCCAGATAATGGAGTTGATGTTCAATCACACTTCGGGGGTCTCAGTAGGATTCGAAAGTTTGGTGGCTTAGACAAGAGTTTAAATAAAGTTTAGAAAAATTATTATAACTCGACTACAGAATAGATCTTTGTCAATGGAATATCAACATTTCAAAGGAAAACAAAAACATTTTATCCAGTATTTTGTTTGGTGATGCAGCGTCATGTCAAAGACTTGGTTTAGTGAACCATCACAATAATCACTCATGTCTGACGAAAATCCTCACCAAATTTGTACATCCAATTTTCAACATAAATTTAGTTTAAATGTATGGGCAGGAATCGTAGGAGATTATCTGACTGGTCCGTTTATTCTTCCTCGGCGTCTCGACGGAGCCGAATATTTGAGATTTTTAAATGAGCACCTCCCAATATTGCTTGAAGACGTGACGCTAGCTATCCGTGAAAACATGTGGTACGCACATGACGAACCTCCTGCTCATAGTACATTAGCTGTTAGACAATAGTTAAATTTAAATTTTCCTGGGAGATGGATAGGTCAAGGGAACGATACACCAGTCAAATGGCCTGCGCGGTCACCGGATCTCACACCCATGGACTATTTTTTATGGGGTCACTTAAAAAATGTTGTTTATTCCAACCCTGTTGATAGTGTGGAAAAGCTTCGTCAAAGAATTTTTGCAGCAGCTGAGGAAGTAAAGAATGACATACATATTTTTTCAAGAGTTCGTTGTAATTTTAATCGTAGAATCTTCTTTTTTTTTATTGTCAGCCAGTTGTTTCTCTTAAATTATTATCTATTGACTGTTGTTAAGTGACTCTTGGTTTTAGTTGTTTTGTTCTCTTTTCTAATAATTATTATTAAACTAACAATAAAATACTTATATTTTGCAATATTTTGCATCTGAACTGTTATTTCATATGAGATTTCGTTAATAGAGGTTTAAATAATTTCACATGCACAAAAAATGTGTTTTTTAATAAAGACACCGAAAAAACAATTAAATAGAAATTATGCAACAAGTGTATTCACATGATAAAATAATACGCAAAAAGAGTAAAGTAAATTTAAAAGTGGAAAAATAATGTTGTCTTAGTTTTGGTAAAATTTTAAAATAGAGATACACAACTAATAAGTACTGTGAGGTAATGCATTCTGAATTTATAACAAAAGTGTATGTTTGTACCTTTGTATTCGTGGATGTATAAATCAGTAACAATGATTTATGAAATTAAAAATGACCTCAACAGCTGGCTTTAGCCATTTTCAATAAGGATACCGTTTTTGTTCAATATCTCATATTTTGTTACTAAAAGCTGTATACGGGGGTTGGCAAAAAAGTTACTACATATTCAATGCATAACGTTGCCTGCAGAGGGCGCCTCGTACTCGACACTCAAAAGTCATTATTATATTAATTTTTCCATCAATAAAAAACCTCTCTGTTGAAAATTTGAAACATTTTTGACTAAAATTGTAGAAATATTAAGGAAAAACCATTTTTTGTTTTTCACTTTGACACCCTGCATCTTTTTTATTATGCGACTTGGGATATAGGTACGTCAGATTAAATCGACTTATTTTCGGAATCTAAGGAATCTGGTATCATTTGTGCCCCTTCATTTAAATACACCCTGTATATTTTTATAAACGCGAATATGGTGCTGGAAAATTAAAGCATATTTCATACACATTATTAAAATCTGATAATGTCCGTACGCCGACAAATGCTAAAACAATTAATTCTAAAGTATATTATTTGTCCCGGAATGTTTTCCCGAAAAAATAAATTTTCGGCATTAGTTTTTAGAACATATCCTAACGTTTATACACACACCCGGAGGGGAATCGAAAGGTTGCAAATGCGCTCCCACAACCCTATAAAAACCGAATAAAATTACACCGATAACATCGCCATCTGAGCCACATATGCGAACAGCGAGACCTCTAATACCCACCTGACTTTTCATGGGGTCCGTGTTAATCTGGCACATATATTGGCCTCTGTCCTCCTCCTGTACGTTCCTGATATGCAGATTCCAAGTGGTGTGGTCGTTGTGGGACACTGACACCCTGGGATTGTGCGTGATGACGTGGTCGTGGATGGCCTGGATCGCCTTGGTGTCTGCCTTAACCCACCCCACCTAGAAACGTAAAGACAGATGTCAAAGCCTACTTGTTATTCGAGAGGTGTTCGGAAGAACATCTGCCTCGGCAATGTGGAAAAGTTAGGAGACAAAGGCAAATAAAATATATATCTCTGTGCGGAAAATTGTAGTATCTGCGGCAGTGGAACAAGCATTCGAATATATGGTAACAGAAACATCCCGGACGGGGTTTATCGGGATTTATATTCACGAGGTGACTACGGAGAATCTTAAAAATAAGACGGCATTGTCACCGTTGGGATATCGAATTAACTTTTTCTTTACGTAATGTCTTTCCTCGTTATTTGAACTTTGAGAATACATTGTGCCTTACCAGATCTCTGGAAATCGTTTATGATTTAGTGAAATGACGTATGAAAGCATATGAAGGAACTTCTCCGAAATACTTCCAAATAACTGATATTTACCAATGTACTTTTATATTCCTGTATCCAAATATGTACATACCGTTAACGTTTCTGTACGTTATTCAAAATAATGACAGAATGTAAGGTTTAATAAATCAGTTATTTTAAGAACTATACTGGATGTTGTCCTGGTAAAAGCATTTCTGAGGTAGGTATGTCTAATATTATCACAATGGAAATTAATTCTTTGTAGTCTGTACTGTCTGTTTCCGAGAAAAAAATTATTGAAGTTCATTCAACCATTACATAGCTGGACAACTGTAGTCTCTAGCATCATTTGTAATACGCGTGAACAGCCACGTGACCTCAGCGACTCCGAATACTGAAATCCGATTTTACAATAGTTGTTGCGATACTGTTTACAATAGTTTTTTAGTAGTTAATGTCAAAAATGGCTTGCGTGTATAGCAACTCGATGTTGATGGATATCGTTTTAATTTATAGTGAAGCAAGACAACACTTGTACTATGGTGAAGCATTTGGATTATGGTGAAGCAAAACCACATTTGTGTTAGTTCGTAGAAACTGAGTAAGACGAACCCAAATGTGTTTACACGTCGGTGGATAAAATTTTAAACAGTTGTTGTAACATCAGGTATGTCGAATTATTTTATTATTTAAAACCACAAATTAATTTTATTAATTATTAATAATAACAATATAGGCAAAAGCATTTGAATTTGCTGATATAAAATAGGTGCTATAAAATTCTATTAATTTCTTTCCTTGCTAAAGTTTTTGTCCGTTTTTATCACACTTTGCCGCCATGCCGGTTGCATTGTGAGAAGTCAGGTTTTAAGTGGACCAGTTTCCAGTGCCGTGCAGAAGTGTATTTTCGAACTGCCTTTTTTGTTTTTTTCTTTACAAAATTGTATTTGTAAGAGTTCCCTGTACATCCAAAATTTGTTTTTGAATAAATTCTAAATCACCCTGTATAGTGGGTTCACGGATGGAGTTGAAAATAAGAAAAATATTTTTATTTTTTATTCTATTTAATAAAGATTTAAAAAATTTGCATCTTTATCACCTTGTGTCATTTATATTAAACATTTTCGAACGCATGCCCATAGAAAACCGTTTTGTTTGAAATTACATTTAATGTCTCCTGGTTCAGTTTGGGACTTATGTAGAGATACTCTGTATACTATAGAGATTTAGAATTAATTTTTTTTCTTTTGTTTACCTTTGTGTAAACTTATTCAATTTTTAAGCACAATTTTTGAAAAATCGAAAAAAGTAATGACGGAATATCCCCACCCCTGGCTAAGTTATATTTTTTTAAACTTATATAAATGTTATTTCAACAACATTGTATTTTAGGAAAGATTTAACGTAGATTTAAAAAATTACGTTAAACATGCATTTTATTATTAGCTGCTGAAAAATAAACGTTCATTGAAAATTTGTCTCTTATTTTATTTAGATACACTGTCTTTAAATATCCCGTATATCCCCATCATTTTGCACGAATTCTGTAAATAGTCTTATTTTAACGTCACTCGGATATTTTAATGTCTGTTTCCGATTCTCAGAAAGCGGATATACATTTAAAAAAAACGTCGGCTATGAAAAACTGGTCTGGCCATTGAACGGGTCGACTTCCATTTTATCATTTCATTTATTATCCAAAAACAATTCATCACGGTGGAAGAAAAATGGGAGACTGGAGGGGTAGATAAGTTGAATTTAAGCGAGATACTACTCATTTGATGAAAATACTGTTGCTGATGGATTGGGTACTGATTCTTAATATCTGACGGAATTAAATATCCTTAGTTAACCTTTAGCGATCGATTTAATTATTTCTATCATCGTTCAATTTCCAGTGAAAGCGAATTCGGATAAAGCTTTCTCTTACGAATGGGTTTATCTCAAATAAAAAGCGAGATATTGCGAGAAAACGACATTTATTTCAAAAAATGATTATTTAATGTCAGTTTTCATAACAAATTGTATTTGGGAACGAAACAAATGCAAATAATTAACGAAATTTAACGTAAATTTTTAAATTGTCACTGGCCCACGCGAGTGTAAACATTTTGCACAATACGCTTAATAATTTCTGAGCTGATTATTTCCTTTTCAGCACGAATTCTCAGTTGTAAGTCTGCTAAATTGTTTGGTCGATAGAAGTATACCCTAGATTTTAAATAACCTCATGGAAAAAAGTCCGGAGGAGTCAAGTCGGGGGAACGTGGAGGCCACTCAAGAGATCCTCTCCGCCTCATCCATCTTTCAGGAAATGTATCATCAAGATATTGCTGAAGCTCTAAGCCAAAGTGAGGTGGAGTTCCATCTTGTTGAAACCAAATATTTTCATGGGATATATCGCCGTCTGCAGCGTTGGGAAAAAGAACTGCTACAACCGGCACCAACTCAAAACGTAGAAATCTAAATCTAGCAGAAGTGAGGTTTTATTTAAAAAAGTAAAGACCTAAAAATCGCCTTTCTATGATTCCCACCAATACATTTCTGTTTTTCTGACTCTTTTTTAATTTGTTTAAAGATTTATGTATATATTATTTACAAATATGTAAGTTAGGTCTATATATCGGAAATAAATTCAATTGTCTTTGCGGCATACGAGACAATATTTAAAAAAATATATTCTTAATTTTTTACGTATATCTAACAATAACGGAGAAAAGGAGGGGCCAATTCTCGCAANTTTCTGGGCTGATTCTTTCCTTTTCAGCACGAATTCCCAGTTGTAAGTCTGCTAAATTGTTTGGTCGATTGAAGTATACCCTAGATTTTAAATAACCCTATGGAAAAAGATCCAGAGGAGTCAAGTCGGGGGAATGTGGGGGCCACTCAAGAGATCCTCTCCGCCTTATCCATATTTCAGGAAATGTATCATCAAAATATTGCCCAACCTCTAAGCCAAAGTGTTGAAACCAAATATTTTCATGGGCGTTTGCAGCGTTGGGAAAAAGAACTGCTACAGCCGGCACCAATTCAAAATGCAAAAAATCTAAATATCCAGCAGTAGTAAGGCTTTTTTCAAAAAAGTAATAACCTAAAAATCGCATTCCCATGATTCCCACCTATACATTTCTGACTCTTTTTCTATTTGTTTAAAGATTTAAGTGTGTTTTATTTAAAGAATGTATAAGTTAGGTAGGTCTATATATCGGAAATAAATTCAATTGCCTTTGCGGCATATGAGACAATATTTAAAAAAATATATTATTAATTGTTTACGTATATTTAACAATAACGGAGAAAAGGAGGGGCCAAGTCTTAAATAGTAATATTCCATTTTAATTAATAGCGTCGATGAATTCATTGACGTTGAATTCATCGCGCGGCGTCGAGTTACAAACAAATATTAGAATTTAGAGAAATGTAAATTTATTTAATATACCTATTTGGGACATTTGCCAGGCACGCTCGCACACATAAAGATATGTTTGCTCGGGCTAAAGCAAATTGTTCCGGCCCTAATGAATTCATTTACATAACAATGGTCCAATATACAATTAACCGCAGGAGGTATGCTTATTACTTTTACTAATTGAATTTACTTTCCTTAAACGTTCGGAGGAAGTAATTTTTTTTGAGGATTTCAACAAATTTTAGTTTCATATAGAAGCGGAAATTCTTACACAAAAACAGGAACGCTGGAGGTGCTGGATAATGCATAAGCAATTTACTTAGCATTAAGTCCACATCAAAATTACCGGATTCCACCGGGAATTATAAGCTTGCTGATGTTATGATGAAAAGGTGAATTGGTACTGAAGATTTGATAAAAAAATGGCACCGCAAGGAACGCTATGATGGTTATATTCCCTACGTATTGTTTAAATTGTAGACATTTTATTTAATGGAACCCTTTTAGTATAACACTCTATAGTATACTTTAAATACGAATTTTATCACCGATCTATCTATATTAAACTCCCATATATGCATTGTCTTTTAATTTATAGACTATATAAATTTTGGTTTGCAATTTACTGAAAACATTCATTTTCCTACTGACAAAATAACAAACTACCGATTTTTTTGCCCCATGGAGTTAATGGAACACGGTTATTTATAAAAAGTATTTTCCAACTTTATAAACACTTTGTATAATTTAAATACTGTCTACAAATATTAGACGTACTTAGAAACAGTTTCATTTTATACCTTTCTTGCTCCAGTTTAATTTCATGTGACTAAATGCGAGTATAAATTGCCGTAAGAGATAAAACAAATTGTTGACATTAAGCTGAAAGTATAACGTTTCAGTACGAAAGAAGGAATCAGGAAGTAAGATATATTTTACTTTGACGTTGGGTACGTGCTATCAGCGAACTACTTTTTACTTTAAAAATTGAAAGTAGATATCGAGGACGATAAATCAGTACCTTCCTATTGTAAGGATTACAATGCTTTCTGCTGTTGCACAATGATTTTCTGGTGTGGGATTTGAACAATGATGGAAATCCAACTCTCAATATGCACAATACAAATGACTGTGGTGTTTGTGATTTTGTGCAGATTTCTGGATATTTATTGATCGCTTACCATCTATTGAAACATATTATATGAAGTATAATTGGTAACACATTTTAAGCA